CCCGCGGAGCTCTGCGCCCTCCGGGGCCGGGGCTCCCCGCTCCCCAGGGCGTGCGAGGCACGGGGGTACCGGGGAGAAGCGGTGCCTGGCGAGTACCTGTGAGCCCCTGTGGCTCTTCCACTGCTTCAGCTGGTCCGCAGCTTCGTCCCGCCCGTCGGCCATTTTGCAGTCACTGGAGACCCCCGAGGCAGCAAGAGCGGCGCGAAGCGGCGGGGCTCTTCGCTTCCGGCGAGGAGGCAGCGGCGAGGAGCTGAGGCCGTGGGCCGGTCACGCTGTCACCCCGTGGGGACCCCGCGCCGTCACCGCGTCCCGTCCGCAGCAGCCGCGGGTAGCGGGAGACTCCGCCAGTACAGCTCCGCTCTCGGCTTGAGCCCGCCCCCCGCTACCTTCTTGACCAATAGGATCGCGGTCAGCCGCCATTGTGTGTTTTGATTGGCCTAAGGGCGCGTCAATTAGGCGCGAAGGCCCCGCCCACTCTTCACGCTGAGGGGACAGAGGCCAGCGGCGCCGTCGCGTTCCTTTGAAATTGCAAGGAACTTCGCCAATATGGAGTTGCGAAAGGGATTTTTCAGCTATATAGTTATAGTTTTCAGCTATAAAGTGTTGAGATACTGGAACTTTCTAAAGCTGATGATGATGGAGATGTTGTTCAATGACAGACGAAGTTACAGGTTCGGCACTGAAAACTGCACGTACTTAAGGAGTTTTTGTTTCAGTGGGGGAAAAAAGTTTGTAAATTGCAAAAGCAAAGTATATAACTACATCAATTACATTAGTGTAGAAGTATATACGGGCTCATTGTTGTATTGGTGCCTGAAATGGGGTACCCTAACTTTGGTCATACGCACTCAATAGTATTTCTTTGGTGACTGGAATTTTTAATCTTAAAAAAACCACTCGCTTCTGAATTATGTGGTTTTACTTACAAATGATGAATAAATATGAGTAATTCTGTAATATGAGTATTATCAGTAATTCTGATAATACTGCAGAAGGTCCCTGGCTTGGTGCCTAATGAACATACTAAGGGTGATAAAAGTGGCAAAAAGCTGGTTATTTTTCCTATTTCTGAGGTAAAACCTTTGAACAACGTGAATAATCCATCTTAAACTCCTTATCTGCATGATCATATCTACATTCTTTCTCTTAATAGTTACAAAGAATAGTCTAACTTGTTATTTCAAGTAGACAATTGCTTTATCTAGTGTGTGTTATTATGGAGTAAAGGGTTAAATCTCACAGATTTGGGTCTGTACTATACAGAGAATACCATTACTTTTATTTCTTTTCTCCAGAATTAAGAACAGCAAACTCCTTTTTATTTTCTGCTTCACTCTTCATTGGGACATTTCTTTCATGTCTTGAAGCCTCGTAATCTTTTTTGCTTCAATGTGATAAACCAACATTATAAAGAAGAGCAAGGAAAATAATTTATGTTTCTCATATTTTTATATAAAATATACATGAGCAGACTACACCTACCAGGCCTAGATTTAATATTAGTATTGCCCACATGATGTTTTTTTATATCAGTAATTACTATTGCAGTTTGCTTAACCAGCAAACTGGGGGAAATGTGAACATTTTCATGAACAGTTAATGTTTGCTTTCCCTTTAAAGTTTAACACTTCAAATTTTAAACAGGCCAACAAGTTTGTCTAAACTCACTGGTCACAAATCTATTTCAAAGTAACTTTAAAAAACTCCTTCTCTTTTCTTTCCTATGAATTCTTCTTATTATGTGCTAGAGGAAAGCATATGTGTGCATATACCTATGTGTATGCCTGCTTAAAAAATAAACAAACAAGAAGAGATTAAATATTGGCTAAGAAAATATGCAAACCCCAAACCAAAACCCAGGAGAGAGGGGGTGGCAACACCAGTGGCATCTATTGCAAACAGAGTTGGCACTTCAGTTTAACTAAAACCAAGTAACTGCATTTCATAAGAAAGGTCACATGCAAAGCTCAGTGTGACACAAGTACTTTTGTCTCTCATCTTGCTCTAATTTTGTCTTTTCAGGAAAAAAAGCAGTGAATGCTTTTTGGTTTGAATACCACAGGTATCTGGCTGTGTTTGTCTTCATTTATTTCTTTTTTCCCCCCTCTCCTGTCTTGGTATTTGTTTCCTGCGGCACATTAATTTGCCTCCTGTTATATATCTGCATTAAGTAAACAAACTTCAAACAATTCCAAATTAATCATCTTTATTTACCTGGGGAGACTGGTTCTCTGCTGCCACATGACTTTCTGAGGCATGATCCAAACCACACTTCGCCCTTAATTAACTTTTGGGGAGATTAAAAGACAGAGTGCTTAGCATTTGTGTTTTGTTGTCTTTAAAGTGAGTTTACACACAAACTACAAGGTCGGTGTCACACACGATTGTGCTGTAAATAAAGTTTACACATAGCTCAGTGATTTATACCCAAGGGGAGGATCTAGAATTAGTTGAGTAGCAGGTCAGTAGTGCCTCTTGATTTGCTAATTAATTCCACAGGCACCCCAAGCTTTCATCCTACATCTATCAGCCCTCTCTGGCTGCCTTGGTCCCTACTTCCTGTGTGATTAAATCAGAGTTACAAATGTTCCCAAGCTCCCTACATCATCTGTACACTCTGAGTGCCTCTACTGCAGAGCCAGAGCATCTAACTCCAGCACAGAGCATGGGGAACAAGATCACTCAAAAAATAAGAGATCAGAAAAGAGAAGCACAAGAGACCGCGTGCTCACTCCTTAATTAAACTGATTATTGATGAGAACACTCATCACAGGACTGGGAGGCTTACAGACCCTTCTGCTAAAGATGTTCAAACTTGTATCTTCCAGAGGATCCAAATTATGCATCTAGAGGTGAGGCTTGGATACATTTTCTATCCTGAGCCACAAGAAATAAAGTCAGGAAAACATAAAAACTCTGGTTCAGGCTCACATAATAAAAATAAAATTTATATTACTGAGTGTATTTTCAGTCACAAAACAAATTCAGCTACTGCATGTGGACTTGTTGTGAAATAATATAATTAATCTGTTCTCAAGACCTGGAATTCTGATTTGCCTTGATAAATATCCAATATTTATGTATTTGCAGTACCTCGGGAACCTTTTGCACTCATCCTTCTGCTGTCATGCCTGGTGTAAACATCAGGGCACAGAAAAAGCATGGAAAGAGCAACAAAGAATAACAACATGCCAGAGGATTGAGGGGTAGGTATGGCAACTACAGACAGAAGTAGGTTGCTATTCTGTTTTAGAAAAAAACCAGAGATCTATGAATAGAAACAACAAATTCATGTCCATTTTAATGCAATAAATTTAATTCTCTCTGTGCTAATGCCCAACTCACATCCAGGGCAATTTTATATCTCCAGCTGGCAATTACACAGCCACGAAGTTCATGCTGTGAAAGGTCAGCCAACCTCTGGGTGACATGCTGAGGTGTTGGACACCGTCTGTGGTGAGCAGAGGAGATGGAATAAGAGATAGGTAATGATAAACTGAGGATCTCTGTATCTGTAAGATAGGTCTGGACACATTTTGCAGCTGTGATGGTAAGTTTATCACTGAGTGACTTGCATTGTACGTAGCCTTTTTAATTTTGTGTTTTCAGTCATCAGATCTAATAGAAAACATGGAAAACACTGAAATATGTCTTCAGAAGAGGTGGGCTTTAAGAGATCACTGAGGGAACAACAAGGTAAGCAGGCCAGAAATGAAAACTGAATTTTATGGGAAATAGCATATTGGGCTGTCACTGGACAGAGTAAGATACTGAGATGCAGAGAAAATGTGAAAAAATCATGTAAAAGAAAATCAGGAAAAGGCAGGTTGGAAACTTTTACTTTGTGTCTGTCATTTTTTGCTCTGCTGTAGTTATTAGGGCAAGGTCTCGATTTAAATTACTAGGAAAAATAAAATATTAGCCTCAAATATAGAAAAATATAGAAATATAGAAAAGTGTGTTAGAATATTAATAATTCATATGTTTCAAACATGTTTTACTTTGGTTCTCCCATTCTCTGTAGACGAGAATGACTTCAGTGATTTTGGAGCAGTTGTCTTCAACCTTTGACATTTGTATGGGATTAGTAAATGCCAGTGGTCATAGACCTAGTCCTTTTTAACCAAAAATAAAATTTATTTGATATATATTAATTGTTTCTAATAATGTATTTCTTTTCTTAAACTACTCATGATCATCATTATTTAGAAGTGTTTCAAATTTAGGGCTGGAAAGAGAGATGCAATCTACTCCCTGAGATCAGTGAAGGAACAAAAAAGGGGTAAGAAATGCAACACTTTTCAGGTAGTGGGGTATTCAAACATCTTTAGCATCCCAGATACCTCAGTTCTGTGGTTTTACTCCTCAAAACCACGTCATTAAAATGATTTCACATTTTCTTTTGTTAATGCAGATTTGATTTCCTTTCAAGTTAAGAGTTCCCACATGAATGTTTTTCTCCATTTGTTCTCTGTGTTGTTAGCAGCATTGTCTAAAGCATCTGCTCAGTGGCAGTCCATAAAACCTCAATTTTGGAACCTGATTTTGCCCATTAAAGCTTTATTCTGCATAAGAGAAGATTTAAAGCTAAACACAGCCATATTTTGTTCTGTTGTTATAATCAGAAGCTCTTAAGCTTTTAAATGGGTCAACCCTCAGTATGACTTAGTCACATGTTCTTTAAATTAGTCAAGTGCTTAATTAGCATGCTGGATGTTTGCATGTATAAATATAGATGTTTATAGATCCAAGAGATACCTTGATACAATAGGTGTCATTTCATGTGTTCCAATTCCACAGAAAGAAGGGAATCCTAAATGAACAGAGCTTGAATTTGCAGAAAATTAAAGGCAATTAAAAACGTTGTCTGCCCAGCAGGACTGGAAAATCGGGCTATTATTTCACTGCCAGGAAAAATCAGATACAAGCCTTTGAAAATTTTGGAGATATGTGTGTAGCTAAATGCATCAGTAGGGCTCTAGGCTGATAGATAAAGATTATTGATATAATTCATTAACACCAGTGATGATGGATTTCAGCATGGCTCATACTTCAAATTTCAGTTAGTTTGGTACTAAGCAATGTTAAAATTTGTTCTTTATAGTGGTGATTTCTATATTTCCTTTTGAATGTGAGATCATGGTGTTGACTGGAAAATAAAATATCATTATAGGGGGCTTTTGGGGAAAAACCACCAGCAACAAACACAGCAGCCAGTGGAATGGCAGCAAACCAGATGGATTTGTGGTAACCACAGCAAATACGGATTCTGGGAAACAAGGAAAGGCAAACAAGTGGATTTGTGAGGTACTGAGAGAAGAAATGTCTTTGAAACCAATAGGAGGTAGAAATTCTCCAGACTTGATTTACTCACCAAGGCACAGCTAAGTGCTTTGAGTCAGGCAGCCAATAGTGTTTAGGTGTCTTGAGAAATACTGGATTGATCCCTTTCTATTTCAGTGAGTGGGAAAAGATGGGATGCCCTGCATACAGAGGGACATCAAAGGCTCTTACCAGGTGACAATGGTGGCAGGCACACGTGGCATTTGTGCGCCAGAGCATCAGCAAGCGCTCCACATGGGTAGTAATCTACTCTGCTGACTGGATGGGTCAGCTTCCCATGGAATTGCTGCAAATTCCCAGTGTAGAGACAGCCTCTGAGATCTCATTAAAACAGCATTTTCTAGGAGTTTATAATCCAAATATAATTCTAAATGTTTTCTCTTTCACTTTTTTTTTGGTCCTGAAATACGCACACACATACACTTTTATATATTTAAATTGATTCATTTTCAATGTCTCTAGCTGATAAATAGATGCTAAACATAACTGATTTTTTAAAGGTAATTTCAATGAATTATGAAATAAAGGCAGTTTAAGAAATCTGCTTTATTCTAGAAGATGGATGAAGCTGTCTCTTGAGGTGCCCCATTTAAGAGCAGTATCAGCCATTGAGGTTTGTCCCTTGAGACAGTGCCAAATAGAGCCCAGGGAATAATTAATTCTAGGGCACCAGCACACTAATTAGTATTGCTGGAATTGATAGGAGTTTCAGTACCTTTGAAAATCTGTTTTTATTTTGATGTGAATATTTTAGCCTTTTTTTTTTTGCTTGAAGTAGCTGCCATTCTTAGTCTGTTTTCCATCATAATAGGAGACATCTAAGGATGGAAAAGCGGCAAAAAGTAAACCACCTGCTTAAACATCTTCATTCTGACAACATGAAAGGCTACAAAAAATCCTGGGGTTAGTGGGATATTAGATAAATATAAAATAACTCTTCCAGCTTGGACTAATCAATCCAGCCCAGTGCCTGCCATCTGGCCAGGAGTTTGCTAGTGCCCCTTGCCCCAGCTGTCAGCATTTGAGTTGCTTGTTCCTGTCATTGCCTAAAAGGAATTAGTTCCAGATCATTATGGATTGCAAAGATGGTCATTGTTTTGTTTAACATTTACACAACTGCCAGAGACCTGCTTCTGAATTAAAGTCCTGGACAAGCCCTTGGCTGTTTTGACTGCAGGTAGGTGCATGGAAAACAAATGGTGGATTTTTTCCTTCTCTTCTGTACATTTGACCTCATTTTTCTGTTTACAGAAAATTGATTGCCTCAAATAGGTAAGTTGGAATTATGGAAGCTCAAAATTTAAAAAAAAAAAACCAACAACACAAAATAATTCCATAATTACAGTGTCTTTAGTTAAACATTAAATCCATTTTAACGCATCCTAAAGACTGACAGCTTTTTATGTGTTTGAAGAGATGCGTTTCTAAAATGTTCATCTTCTTTACAAAAGTGGCTAAAATAATTATTTTGACCTATCATGGAAACTGTAACAAATTATTAGTGTGTTTTGGGTTTCTTTTTTCCCTGGACGTTGATGCTAAGCTGCCAGGTTAATTGACATGTTTCTTTCCTAATTGCTACCTGCACCCTGGCTGGACGTTTCCAAGATATTTAAAAGAGGTTTACAAGCCCTTTACACTGCCAAGAAACTTATGATGTAGGAATAAAAATGAAATGCAGATCATAACTTCCAAACCACCAAACTCATAAACTCTCCTGCACAGATCTGCAGGGATCTATCAGCATTCCTACCCAGCTTTGGTTGCATTTCCTATTTTCCTTGGATTGTGGGCAGTGGTTGAACAGCACAATTGGGTCTTGACCTGTAACGTGGACTTCCAAACAATTTTAAGAGCAATACACATTTTTCACTTTGTTTTTTCAACACTTTTGGTCTAAAAATATTTGACAATTTTTTACAGCTACAAGAAAGAGCACTGCATTGTATAAAGTATGGACATTTGGCCTAGTTTTGATCACCAGATACTTGTGACTCCCCCAGGGTAAAAATAACTAATTTTCAGTAGTCCTCCGGTTATCATATTTTTTGAGAAGGTAATTTTTTTTTTCCTTTTCTTTTTCTGTTAGTATGGTAGAGAGGTTCTTTACTTGTTTTTAGAATGTACTAATCCCTCTTCTGTTTGGTATTTTTATCCATACATAATCCTGAAACTGAAAATAGTTTTCAAGATATGGAAGGCTGAGATATTTTGATTTTCTGCCTGCATGACAGATTCCTGAGGCTTTTCAGTCTTATTCCACAGTGATGATTTCCTCCTTTCCTTCCTTACCACTCTTAGGTATATCCCAAGCAATATTTTTTATCCTGTTGTACTTGAGAATTATTTTTGAGTATTCCTCTCTGGACTGGATGCAGACCTGGATCTATCTCCCTCTATTTTGATACTTTTGAACAGGGAGGTTTTGCTGTGATACATAATGACTTATCCTACAATATCCACCCTGCATTCTTCATTTAATTTAATCCTTTTGCCCAATTCTGATACATTCTGACTCACCATTTTATTGAGTGCTGATGGCTTCTGGCACCAGCCCTAGTTTTATTGAATCATCCAGACTGTTCCTATACTTTTTGGGGATCGGTTTTTGGCTGTGCAATGCACAGAACACTACAGAGCACTGTGACACTTCCATCACAGGTGATGTGTTCCAGGAATTCCTTCTCAGTGACGCAGGCAAGGGAAAAAAAAGGGAGTTGGTCATCTCCCCATTGCTTCCAGCATGTGTTTCATCCTGACTGGCCATAACAAATTGGTCTGTGTCAGCCATCTCCTTGTTGGAAAAATATTCCTGGGTTATATGATAACAAGCAGCCCTGTGTCATAACTGGAGTTAGGGATCTGAGGAGGTGGATGGCGTTATGTTTATTCAGGCTGCACGTTGACAAGGTGGTTCCTGAGCCAACAGTGCTAATTAACAACATGTGCCTGTACTGAGCTGATAATTAGGTTTGAAACCTTAGTAGGGGATTTGCTTCCATAATGGGTTTTTTTCCCCAGGATTTTACTTTTTGAGGTTGGAATTACATGTGCTCTTCTGCTATAGCATAACTGTGGTGGGATACACATTCTGCATCTTCACAGGATGGGTGAGATGGCAAAAGATTATTCATTCACATAAAAACTGGGAAGGAACATGCTGGAAAAGTGTGACCAGTGCATTATGGAAGGTGCTTTCTGACCAACATATTCACTTAGAAATTTTCCATTACAACACTCACTTGGCAATAAATGTCCAGCTACAAATTCCTGCTCTCAACATGCTGAGATTAAATCTTCTCACTGAAAAAGGTTTCTAAAATTTTTCATAAGGGTAATATAATTTAGTAGTGAATACTAGAATAGAGTTACTATTATGCAGAATAAAAAGATTTCTTTGAAACTCTTTTACAGATTCTTTAAGAAAGAAACAAAGATATTTCCTCTATCTCAAACTTTCCTGTTTTAGTGTCCTACTAGTGGTACAACGCCTGAGTTTCTGGCTTGTTTTTCTTTTAAAAAAAGCCAATATTAATTGTCATGCTGGGTAAGTTATATCACACTTTTCACATAGGACTTACAAATTTTAGATATAACTATTAGAATTTCAGCCTAATTTTGGGCAGCCACTCACTTATTTACTAAATTAGATTTATATGCTATTGGTTCTGAGGTTATGAAATATACCTCAAACTGGAACATTAATAGCATTCTAGTGTAAGTTTTTTTGCAGGTAGGCAAGGTTTTCTGGTGTTTAGTGGTAAAGGTGAAAAAACTCTTGAGTTCCCCAGAGAAATCAGAGTTAAGAAGATTAGGGGTCATAAAATAAAAAGCTAAGAAGTTTTTAGCAAAAAAGAGAATTCTGCAGTTAAAGGTATTTTGTTGTGGGTTTCCCCCTTATTCTCACATTTGGCTTTTTTAGGAATTATTTTGTTGCTGGAAACACTGATTCATTGTAGTTTGTTTTTTTCCCCACAAACATGTTTGAACTTTACAGGATGTACCCCAATTCAAAGGCACCCGAAGCCTTACCAAATTTTTGATCTGTCCTCAGTTGGGGCAGGGTAAAAATAAAAACAGTGACAAAGTTTCACAACCACACTGCACTTCCCTTAGTGGAAAAATCTCTGCAAGAGTGCTGAGTCCGTCTGGCCAGTGAAGAGAAAGGGCTCCCCCTTCCAAAGGCTTTAGGCTAAGGATGAGGAAAGAAAGCAGATTTCTATTTTGAGTTTCATAAATAGAAAGTCGGCAGCTTTGCTACCACACAGTCGGGATGTTACTCTGGACATCCCGCGCTCTTCGTGTGCGAGGTGCTGCACATGCTGGTCCCTCTGTGAGGCAAGGACCTTGTGACAGTGTCACACCGCGGGGACAGGATCACCTGTGCCACGTAGGCAGCTCTTCGTCAGAGCTCACACACATCCCCATCCCACGAGGAGTGTCAGACAGCCCTCGTCCACACGGCTGTACCTTCATTTTCCCCCTCAGCACCCCGCATTTCGCTCCCTTTGGAGCTCCCACGCGTCTGAGGGACAGCCCGCAGCAGTTTAAATGCGGCGCTGTTGCGGCCTCAAGAGGGAGGCAGCGGGTTCCGTGACACGGCAAAGCTGCCAATCCTATCGAGCTCAGGATTCCTCGGGAAAATAAAGGGGAAGCAGAATTTAGACACAGCCGGTGTAGATTATGATGGAGTAGTAGCTAGGAAGCTGTTGCTACACTTTCAGTACCACAACAAACACTGCAACTGTTGTCCGATGGTTCTGAATGATCCGAGGCAAGGCAGACGTGGGTTTTGACCTTGAAAATTCTCAATAATTTCTCTTCAATTCTTTTCAGCGCTGTTTGCCATTGTAAATAACCACTGATCTCAGCGGGGCCCAGTAAGCTTCGGGGCATCCATTTCACAGCAGTCTGAGAGGGTAATACTTTATTTGGCTTCCTGGCAACTTCCTGACTGTTCAGGGTTATGAAAAATACAATATTTAGCTTTAATTCTTTCTCTGTGGCTATTATTTCCATTGTTTTTTTAATTACAGTGATAGAGTCTTGATAATGTTCTTGTCAATGCCGTGTCCCTGGCTAATAGGGGAGAGTAGAGGATATGAACATTGTTTCAGGAAACATGACACACATCCATTGCAATCAATACATGTAATAGGCTCTATCAAGTGCCTCATGAGAAAGGTTTATATTACAGCCAGTGAATGGCTGTAGTAATAAGTGCAATTTTGATATGAAGTTCTTCCAAATGCGTATTTTGGCCCACAGGACTACAGCAAGTTTCCACACAGACATAATATAGCAGTGGATCCCATGACCAGATAATTGAGATTATGTCAAGGGCCTCCAAAGAGTTATTTTACACTGGTAGCTGCCATACACAGACTTGGCAGGCTGGGTGTTAGATCAGAGCTAAGGATCTGGGTGACTGGGGAAGTTTATCCTGCTATAACTTTATAGCTGGATGTTATAAATTAGAAGCTGTTAAATGCTGAAGAACATCATTGTCTGCAGCTATTTGGTAATGCCTGGTGGCTCTCAGAATGTTCTGATTGGTTGATTCCTGCATTAGGAAGAAAATGCAGGCAGTGTAAAATTATAGTTAATGGTAACAGTGAAATGAGTAGGAAAAGAGGCCTCAGTAGTTTGAGTACACTTCATCTTGCATATTGTAATGTGATGAAGCAAAACTCTTTTACTCCCTTCATTTGATCTGATTCCAGGTAAAATATAATTCTCCCCACCAACTCTGATAAGATTTGTGATAGTGATTGAGATAGTCTGATACTGTACTAAGGTTTTATCCAGGAATTTAATGTATTCAAGTCTAATCTTTCTTATTATGACAGTTTTCTTCATCTTTTGTAATCACAATCATTTTATTGGCCAAAATAATCCAACATAGATCCATAATTTTTTTAGTCTTATAATATTTCGAAATAAGGTCCACTATAATATTTGCTCAGTTGTCTGGTGTACTTAAAATTTTAAAAAGCTTTTTTATATTGCCTCTTGTCTTCATATACTCCAAATTTCAGGACACGAGTGTTAAATGCTTATTGAGGATAACATTTTAAATGAGGTGAAATGTCATTGGTTTTTTCCGAGATTAGTTTACTTTTCCTACTTCAAAATTTTTTCAAAAACCACCCATGGAATAAATGCATTACAAGTGAAACACCTACTGGGGAGGGAAGCTCTTTCCTGCATCTAAAAAGCGTAGGAAACAATTTCAGTACTATTTCATTCTTAGAAAGTGTTTAAAGATGCCTTAACCTATACAATATGTGCTGAATTGAGAGAGATTGAAAACTAAATTAAGCAGAAATGTTTAAAGATCAGCGGATTCAGCAGCACTGCTGAAAGGTTGTGAGGAGAGTCATTCCAAACGTAGGCAGACTTTGGAGAGGGGAAGTTGTGTTGGAAATGGTTCCTCTATCCTTTGCAGTGGAAAGAGCAGGATTCATGGAACCCTCCTGGTGGCTGGAGGCACCTCTGGAGTTCCCCTAATCAAGCCCACAAAGCAGGATCAGCTAAAGCAGCTTATCCAGGATTGTGTCCAGTTGGGTTTTGAATACCCCTGGCTATGGGGATTCCACAACCTCCCTGGGAAACCTGTTCCAGGTTTTCACCTGTTTTACCTGTTCAGTGTTTTACCACCCTCACAGTAAAAGGTGAGGTGGTTAAAGTTTAAATGGAATATTTTGTATTTCAGTTTGGGCCTATTGCTTCTTGTTCTTTCCCTGGGCACCACTAGGAGGAGTCCACCTGTCTTTTTCTTTTTTTTATTCATCAGGTATTTATAGACAGAGATACTGTCCCACCTTCTCCAGAATGAACAGTCCCAGCCCCTCAGCCTTTCAAACGACAGAAACTCCAGTTCTGCAATCATCTTTGTGTCCCTTTGATGGACTAACTCTAGTTTATTCCCACCTCTCTTGTACTGGAAAACCCAGAGCTGGACTCTGACTCCATCTGAGTCTCACCAGTGCTGAGCAGAGGGAAGGATCACCTCCTTCCACCTGCTGGCAGTGCTTTTCCTGGGAATGCTGCTGGCTTTCATTGCCACAAGGATGTATTCCCAGCTTACATTCAACTTGTTTTCCAACAGGTCTTTTCATCCAAAGTTGTTTTCCACTTAGATTGAAAGGAGCCATTTATCCAGGCAAAAAATCATCAATTTGTCAATGAGGATATTGCAGGAGTGAGTGTCAAAAGCCTTGCTGTGGTGAAGATAATATCAATGGTCCTTCCCTCATCCATCATACCACTGATATCATTGTGGAAGGCTGACAGATTAGTCAGGCATCATTTCCTCTTCATAAATCGGTGGAAAATACATTGAGAGCAGCCTGGAAAAGACTTGAGGGTGTTGGTTGATGAGAAGCTCAACAAGACCCAGCAACACACACTCGCAATCTGTAGACACCTATATCCTGCATCTACTGTTGGGAATTTATTCTTCCCTCTGAGGGTGCTGACACACAGGCACAGGTTGCCCAGAGATGTTGTGGAATCCTGGAAGGCTTCAAGGGCCCGATTAGATGGGGCTTGGAGCAACCTCGTCTAGTGGAAGGTGTCCCTGCCCATGTCAGGGGTGGAAGAAAGTAGGTGGAAGGTCCCTGTAATCCAAACTCTGTGATTCTAAATCACCTTTTGGTCCTTAATGCTTTCCAGGCTTATTTGTCCCACCCTTTCCCCAAGGATAAAGGTGATGCTGACCAGTTTGTACCTGACTGATACTGACTAGTTTGCTTTGAAGGATCTCTGAAGAAGTTGTCTGTACAGCAGCAGCAGAAAACCACTTATTTGTTCATTTTTGGCATCTGATACACTTGTACACGGAGAATTCACTCCAAGTTCCTTATCACTCCAATTATATCTACTACAAAAGGCAGCTCTTGAGTGTAGAAAAGATATTCTTAATAGATTCTCTGTGCTTCTTATGCTTTTCATACCTGAAAATGTGTGTCAGAAGTAGACTGTAATATAAAATCTTCAGCAATTAAAGTTTTTTAAATGGTCTTGCTTAACAGTCACTATTAGTCATGATAGACATGACCCCTTCTTTCTTGACAGTATTAATTTTGAGAAGCTCTGCCTTATCTGTCATTATAAATAACAGTAAAGCTGATCTGGGCTGATTTCTTATGCTAAGCAAATTTAAGTTCCTGATCTTATTTAAATAGAAATTATGTTTTAATTGACAGCCTAAGGATACGAGTGAGGCAAGTTATGTAAGGACAAGAAATGTCTTTTATTAGACTAAATAGTAGAGTAGGAAAAAAATGAGGCAAGATTTGTTAAGCAGGAGTGTTTCTCTTGATGGGAATTGTTAATAGCAAAATGTAGTTTTAGGCTATGCTAAATCACAGATAAAACCAAGACAGGGAGAAGGTGAGATGTCCATTTATTATTAACAGTCTGAAGATTTATTCAGCACACCCACTGATTTCAGTGAATTCTAACCATCTGAAAAGTTTACACAAGGGACAGTATTATTCCTACAATTCTACATTCATGAGATTCTATGTTCTCTTTTTAAATTTTAATTAGTATTATCAAGTAGATTAACCTAAATTACCAATCAAGACATTCTAAAAGGTATGTATTGTAACCTTGGCAAAGGCCATTTTGCACAAAATGAATGGGGGAAGAATTTGAGTTATTACAGATTGAATAAAGTTTCTCTCCAGCTGGGAAGACACAGGAACCTGGCAGTGGTGAGGTCAGCAGCGAGTATTTGGCCACTCCAAATACTGGACCAGCAACTAATTGTAGTTAGACAATAAGTTGAGGGATGGATGAGGATTTTGTTGCATGGCAGAAAACACACCAGATCAACATTTTCTCTACAGCAGTAGTGCTTTGAAAATATGCAAAATGAATTCTCTTAACACTTTTTTTTTTTTTTCCATTTAATTTAGACTTGATATGTGATTCACCTGCTCTAGTCACGCTTCATCTCTGCTCCCTCCAACATCTCCTGCTGTCTGGGCTCACACTGATTTCCAGGTATCAGACAGCAGCTATCTTTGTTTATTAACAAAAATAGTTCTGAGTCTTGCAGATAAAATGCAGTTTAATGAAGCAGCTACACAAGGAAAATGCTATTAGCACATGTTCAAAACAGAGACAGCAGGTTGAGAAAGAAATTTCAAGCAACATCCATGGGAGCCCAGCCAGCTGTTGAGCCTTTGGGCTCATTAACACTCCCTCCCACAACTGCTTTTTTGGAAAGAGCTCCTCTCTTTTTGGTACTGTTCTGAGGAGTTGGTTGCACCAATCAAATAGCTTCTTTGAGGGTTCTGTTAAGGCCAGTTGTGTTATTAATTTATTTTTTATTTTTTTTCCTTTTCCTATTGGAAATCCTTGAGTTTTCTTTGCTTCAAGTGAGTAAAATAAATTTACATGGGACCTAGAGGTAAGGGATGCTTATGCTGCTTAATACCGTATATATGAATATTATTTCCTAGAAATTCACTGAACTTTATGGCTTGAATAGTAACAGGTCAATCTCTGTCTTGGTTACTTTAAAAAGTATTGATTTGGAGTCTTCAGTACAGATTAAGGGGATTTTACATTTGCTCTTACTGCTTCAGTTCCTTAAAGCAAATGTTTATTTTTAAAATAGGTTTGCTATTTATCCAGTTGCTTTCTGTGTATCAGAGAATGCGAAGACCTTTTATTTCTAATTAATTCTGGTGTACCTTAAATTCAAATTTTAAAACCCTGTA